AAATTGTAAAGAACAGGGCTTATTTTAACTTTTCTTTTAGGTGTAAGGGAGACATCTTAGAACATCATATGGCAAGGGACAAAGAGTCGGGGTATTGTCTGTGATGCTTCGGATCTGTTTCCGTCTCCTTTGGAAGCCACCAGGATTCAGTTGTGCGGGCTCCATCCTAATGATCTTACCTAATTCTAATCACTTTGAAAGGACCCCACCTCTAAACACCATTGTAAAGATTACTACCCTTTTAATAACTGACATTGGAGATTAATTCTCATATATGAAACTCTAGGAGGCACCAACTATATTTTAACCACAGCACCTTCCTTCCAATACTATTCGATTCACTGTCATTATGTTAGGGGACTATTCTAATTGACTGTCTATAATGCTTTTTGTGCCTGACTCACCAGATCCTCTTTGGGGATCTTCATTTTTATGAAGAATCCATTTGATTTATGTGGCATAATCTCATGTAATTTTCCTAGTACCACACTGTTAAATTGAACAAATGGGTATCTTAGTGGAAAACAAAATGTGCAATTCAAACACCGAGAGGCGTAGTTTAATTATCTGCAAGAATTATAAGCATACATGACACCAGAAAAGTAGGATGCTAAAGTAATATTTCATGTGACCATGCAAAATAAATTTAACATTCATTTAGAGTATTTTGCAGACTTCATGTTTGTGTAGGGTTATGTACTTATATAAAAGCATGTGTGCATATGTACATACTGATGTGTTATGCACATGTGTCTGTGAAGGCCAAAGATTAACGTTGGTGTCTTCTTCAGTTACTCTCTGCCTTAATTTTTGGGACAGGTTCTCACTGAATCTAGATTTCACTAGTGGGCAAGGCTGACTAGCCAGAGAGCCACAGTATTCTGCTGTGGTGTAATTGCACACAGCCTTGGTGCCAGGGAATCCACACTCAGGTCATCATGCTTGGGCAGGAAAGAGTTTACCAACAGAGCCAGCTCCTCAACCCCTGATGCTGACTTTGAAGCATTGAGGAAATACCAGACAGCCTTACCTGTCTACCACTGACTTCTGTCTTCAGTATGGCTTTAGGGAAAATGTGTGTTTTGGAAAATCTATAAGTGTTTTGAGTAGTTCACATGGTAACATCCCCAAAAGAACAATTACAGAAGTCCTTCAACCCATGATTTTTTTCAGAATTTTTCCCCAGATACCGGGCAATTTAATATGATTTAAAAGAATGATATCTATTCTTATAACAATCATTAGTAGCTCCTTGATCTTTTGGGGTTTTTTTTAGTACTTTTAATTACTTCTCTTCATTCTAAATAATGATGTTGAATGTGTTGAGTCCCACTGCAGTGCCTAATTTGCCTTCTTAATACTGTGAGCCCATCCACAAGGTTCATTAGCTGAGTAATAGTGGGAGGTAGGATCCTTATGCATGGAACATCCTGCCCTTATAGCTACAGTGATGAGTTTTGTACCACCCACCTGGAGACAGAGGAGTTGATGTCTCATATGTGGGGAACAATTTAGAGGAAGTATTCAGAAAGGGATTTGAGGTGTGTTTTTGTTTTCAAAACTAAGGAAATATAAAGGACAAAATGAACTGATTGGCATTTACTTGTAACTATTTCAAAGAAACATGTTGACATATTCCCACAGATAAGTAATGCTAAATGTCAACTTGAATTAAGCCATTTGGCTCTAATTGAGACATGAACTGATTTAGCAATTTTGAATACTTCTTATCTCACTACAGACAGAAAATGGGAAGTGCATTGACCACTTAAGGTGTTTTAACCAGAAAGGGTGGTATAAAAGAGGTCATTTCAAAGAACACATAAAATTCAAGTTGGACCTTAATGTATAGCGTATTGCCATCTTCATATTTAAAATACATCTCTAAACAATCTAATATCCCAGGGTTTTCTCACTGTACAGACTATCCACATACTTACACCTAAATTATGTAAACCATCAATATATTCCTTCAAAATAGCTATATCAATTTGAGTGATTAAAATCATTCTATGGAAAAAAATTAGAGCCTTAACTTTCAGCCCAAATTTAGTCTCTCACTTGATCTATGACCTTGATGTTTACACTCAGCTCTACCAAAATAACATGACTTATGCAGAATTCTTGGGTAAAACTTGAGGAAAGATATTGCTTCAGCTCTTCTTCAGAATACATGGCTGATTATGATGATAAATAATAAATTCAAGCATTATTGTAAGTCTGTGGCCACAGTTGTGTTGCTATGTGGTCAAACCTCTTAGGACGCCCAATCAGAGGAAAACTTGCACGGTCTATTCTTCCATGCACATTGAAAACAAAGGCCCCTCTGCTCCACAAAACAATAATGAGGTATCAATAATGGAAAGGCAGTTGGTACAATTAAAAGATTTTAACACAACATGATGTTGTTGCTGAAGTATCAACCAGTAGTACAATCCGTTGTCATACACATGCTGGAAACAAAAGTTAGTTCCCCTCCCCCCCAAGTAAAACAAACCCATTGCCATGCATATACTGAATTGGTACAATGCTGCTTTTTCTGTCGACTTTGTAAAGAACTTATTTAAGTAAATATGGCCCTTCACAACCTATGAAAAATGATTTTGACCCAGCTCTTTGTTCTGTGGACTTGTCTTCTTTGGGTAAATGATTTATATTTTATGACCCATTGTCATAGCTTTGGCCCTGATTCAATTCCAATTTAAGAAAATACTTGCAGTGCGGTCTTTTAGTAGCATGCAAACACTCCAAGAATTTGATGCTCCCCAGAATAATCTATGCTTGTTATGCAAGTGCAGTCAAAGGCACTTTTTTCTCAGAACAGAACAAAAGAGACTGGATTCTCTGTAGCTTAAATTGCTTCAAGAGTTCTCAGTGGTGGAATTGCTGATGGTTTTGTGCAAACAAGGGAGACTGAATCATGCATTTTTATTAGTCACCCAAGAAGCCTTTGGGTTTCTGGTTATTCTTAAGCATGCAAACACCAAGGCTCATCTTTAAGAACCTCAAAAATGTCTTGCCTGATTAGGAAGTTAGTCATTTAATGTTTTGACAACTAAAACAATATAATGTTCAAAAAACTAACAAATTACCCTTAGAAGTAACAGGATACATCATTTTAAAAATGAGCAGCCCGAGGGTTGGTGGTGCCTTCCTTTGTTCTGCTTAATCCTCCTTTGCTGTCTGAGAGTCCAATGTTTTGCAAATATCTGCACTGATTTCTAGTAATACAGGTTGGTGTTAATTCTCCACTCTGTGTAGAAACATTATTTTAGACATTAGCAGCTTTTGTGGTCTGAGAATCAACCCTCCTTCCACAGTGATCTCTTCATCCGTTCAGTATTATTCTGGTGTGAACACTGCCTTCCTCCTCAATCAGTGTTATTCTGGTGTGAACACTGCCTTCCTCATCAGCCAGTGTTATTCTGGTGTGAACACTGCCTTCCTCATCAGCCAGTATTATTCTGGTGTGAACACTGCCTTCCTCATCAGTCAATATTACTCTGGTGTGAACACTGCCTTCCTCATCAGTTCAATATTATTCTGGTGTGAACACCACCTTCCTCATCAGTCAGCATTATTCCAGTGTGAACACTGCCTTCCTCATCAGTCAGCATTATTTCAGTGTGAACACCACCTTCCTCATCAGTCAGCATTATTCCAGTGTGAACACTGCCTTCCTCATCAGTCAGTAGTATTCCAGTGTGAACACTGCCTTCCTCATTCCCCTTTAAAACCTGAATCAGTCTTCAGCATAATATGTTGCCTTGTTCCAGAAGGCACGGCGAGGTCAAATTTGGGAAATGTCCTTACAGTTCTCGTGTTCTGGGACTATTTACCCCTTCTTGTTTTAGAAGTTGCCTCAGCTGTGGTCACAGACATCCCCTGAGGCCACTTTTCCGTTTATTTTGTCCATTTAAGGGGAACATACTGAAAGTTTTGCTACTGGAAGATTAAAATAAATACATTGAGAGGAACGTTCTCAAAGCTCCTGCACAGACCACTGCCTTCTCCCTTGGGCCCATCGGCATCCCTACCCTACAGGCAATAAGGCTGCCAAGTCCAGTGTTCAGAAATATGCCAGAGTAGAGAAACAAGGTTAAAAACCAGCCAGGAACGTGCTTCTTTGTTTGTATACATTTAAAAACTAAAAGGTAAAATATGATAAAATGACTTTTTAAAAGTACATTGCCTATGAAAATTGATCCACGTGTGTAAGGTAATGATTCCAAGATACCAGCCTATGTTTCTGAAATTCTAGAAAGTGATACTTAACAGTGAATTCTTTGTAGTGTTAACGAAAAATCAATCACATGGATATTTGTTTAAAAAAAAAAGACTTCCTTTGTGTGCCAAGTTTGGATCATGAGGTCTCACACAAGTTAGGCATAGAAATTAAACATCTTGAAATGAAATTTGAGGCTATGTATATAATACACTGGGTAGAACACATGCTTGGTTTGCATGAGGCTGAGTTTAGTCTACAGCAAAGGAAACAAAGCTAGACAGAAAGGAAGGAAGGGAGGTCTCCATTTTCAACCATCACTGATCACCATTATATGAAAATAGAACTTTATTATAAGACAAAATGATTGAACCCTAAGTTGAATGGAATTATCAATTCTACCCTCCTTATTAAACTTTGCCTTAAGCAAGATTAATGATAATGTGGCATTAACTTATAAGTCAGCAGTTCTCAACCTGTGGGTGGCCACCTCTTTGGGCTTTGGGTGGCAACTGGGGTCACCTAAGACCGTGGGAAAACAGATATTTACATTATAATTTGTAATAGTAGCAAAATTAGTTATGAAGTAGCAATGAAAATAATTTTATGATTGGGGTCACCATAACATGAGGAACTGTACCAAAGGGTCCCAGCATTAGGAAGGTCAAGAACCCGTGTCTTAGGTACACCAAAACCAAATATACTTTCACAGCATTTTGTTCCATGATTTAGTATGCAAATTCTTGAATCACCTCTTTTTTTTCCCCCTTTACAGGAAAACTGAAGACTTTAATAACAAACCTTTCAAGGTGAAAATGAATACAGGTATGCTTTTTTTCCCCTAAGCTCTTTAATTCTGCTCTTTAAGCCACCTTGGTTCTACATTAGCATAGTGCTGTATTGATTGTAAATGTGAGGCTGAGTTTCCGAATATATAGAGAGTTACATTCCATTATCATCATGTCCCAATCTTATAGCCCAAGGTATAGTTTTTTGTTACCTGCCATTATTGATCTTTTATTATATATTTTCTTTGTGTGTGTGTGTGTGTGTGTGTGTGTGTGTGTGTGTGTGTGTTCATGTAGCAGGTATACATGTGTACAGGTGTGTGTGTAAGGAGACCAGAGGTTAACCTTCAGTATCATTCCTTGCTTTTTAGTCCAGCTTGATTTTGAGGCAGAGCCTCATTTGGCCTGGAACTCTGTGATTAGACTAGGCTAGCTGTCTTGTGAGCTCCAGGTATCCCCCAGTCTCTGAATCTCCAGTACTGGACTTATCAAGCACTTGCTACTGTGCCCAGCTTTTTAAATTGAAGTTCTGAGTCTCCAACTGAAACTTTCAAACTTGAATGGCAAAAACTTTATGAGCTCAGCGATTATCTCAGCCCTTTCTGGTTGTTGGGGTTGGTTTGTTTGTTTGTTTCAATTAACTCTTAAAACCGCTTGAAATTGTATTTATACATTTGAAATCTCTTAAAATATGTTAGGCTCAAAAGCAAGTTATTCTGGTGAACAGTGTTTAACCTTTTCCATTTTATAAACTGTTTATATTGACAAAGTCAGAAGATAGAATTCCAAAACCTCATACAAAATGAATTCTGTTAATTCTTTATTATCACACAATACACATAAAACCATAAGCATGTTATTTTTAGACTTGCATACAGTATCCTTAACTATTTTAACACAAATGCCCCTGAACCCTGTGTTGTATGCATTTTAACTGTAAAATGGTTTATAAATGCCTGGTAAATACATAAAATGTCATTTTGGTCCCACAGTAGACCTCTTTGGCTTGTATTTTCACCTTCCTCCTCATGGTCGATGGTCTCATACACAGTACACTAGCATGTAGTAATTAAAGAAAACAACTTTCTCATTGAAACCCTGTGACTGTGTCATAGCTCATGGCTGGAGAATTGTTTTAGCCAGCCGCCCCATAGCAGAGCAAAAGGAAATCCCAGGTCATCCTTTTTCATCAGGCTCCTTGTATCAAAGTGTCTAGGAGAAGGATTAACAGCTGGCTGGTAAGAGCCAGTATTTAATCCCTAGATCAAGTCTGGAGACATGTGCCAGTTCCACCTCCCTGTGGCATCTTCTTAGCTAAAACCTGCTCAAACTGGCCTCAGAGAACACTGTCAGCTGGCTCCTGAGGACAGAACCCACATGTAGATAGACGTTTCGAGAAGTGAACAAGACAGGGTGTTTGAGAAAGAACTGATGACCTTCTCAGAGAGCCAAGTAGAGGAGATTTAACAAGTGAAGATGGGTTTGCCTTCTCCAGTCTCCTCTGCCTAATGATAGCTATCATTTTATTTTGCACATACAATGTAAATGGACTGTGATGAGCCATTTTGCACTCTATGGAGTGACCATAGAGTCACTCCAGCAGACTGTTCACATGAAGAGGTGGGGTTTACTCACTATTTCAGAGATATCGCCTCTGAAAATTTAAATTCTACACGGCTTCCCAAAATAGGATTTTCCCATTATGAGAAATATGCATATATAATTATACTAAACATACAGTACTTGTATACAATGTATTCAACAGTTGGTCTTCGCATTCCTATAATCACATCCTAATAACAAAGTAGGCACAGAGAAATTGGGAAATTGTTTAACTCTCTGGTACCTGAACCAAGTTGCTGCTGAGCAGCATGAATAGAAACCTCTGCAACAACCTTTCATTTATAAGGAGTGATCTTGACTCTAGTGGGCACAAAATAGTGATCTTGACTCTAGTGTGCATAAAATTGGGTTGCCTATGTGGATAGATTCACCTATGGAAACATGCAAGTTTAGTTGTAAGTTGAAATCCTTTGCTTAAGATTCCAAAGTAATGTTACAATGTTGCAATAAAAACATGCTACTTTGAAAAATATGGACGACAAATGTTTAGGTAGAAGATAGATAGGTACACATTGCTTTCAGAAACAAATTATTGTCACTGTATTTACAAAATTAAGGAATAATTGATTCCTGAGTAACTAATAAATAAAATTGGCTCACCTTATCTATCTATCCATTATTAATGATATATAATATTTTTTAAAACTCTATATACCAGAGCCGGGCAGTGGTGGCACACACCTTTAATCCCAGCACTCGAGGAGGCAGGTGGATCTCTGTGAGTTTGAGGCCAGCCTGGTCTACAAAGCGAGTTCCAAGAAAGTACAAAACTACACAGAGAAACCCTGTCTCAAAAAAAACAAAAACACAAACAAAAACCTCTGTATACCAGGTTTGAGACAGGTGCTCAGTTGAGTAAAGTGCTTGCTGCTCAGTCATAATCCCAGTCCTCCAGGTAAAAAGCCATGTATGGAACAAGCACTGGCAATCTTAGTACTGGGAGGCAGAGAGAGGAGGATCCTGGGGTGCCCTGGCCAGGCTAGCCAGTTCTAATCAGTGGGCTCCACCCTCAGTGAAAGATCCTGTCTTTAGGATAGAGAGAGAAACAAGGATTCTCTTAACCTTGATCCCTGGCCTCCAGAAGCACCCACATGGACAGTTTACACATACACATATATACGTCACATACATGCAAAAAAAGCCTACTTGCCAGTCACTATGGTCTAAAAATTCTTTTATATCCAATATTTATTTTTAATAGATGCATAACAAACTATCCAAGGAGAATGAGTTTCATGTTTGCATTTTAGAATGTCTAAACTATGACCTAGCTCCACGCAATAGCAATTGTGACTTATTACTTTCTAACACATAAGAATTCACTATCAGGGTCGGGGATTTAACTCAGTGGTAGAGAGTGTTTGCCTAGCAAGCACAAGGCCCTGGGTTCAGTCCTCAGCCCTGAAAAAAAAAAAAAGACTTCACTATCATTAAAAAAGATAATTCATAGACTATGGTTTACCTAACTAAGTGTTTTCTAGATGTGGAAACAGCAACCAGGCATCTTAAAGCTCAGTGGAAGGGTACTCGACCAGGCTGTGGTCCATGGATAACTGTGATGGTGGGACCAGCACTTGGTTGCTTTAGGATGAGCTATGCGTCAGAGATAGCATTTCATATTGAGTCCTTAAAAACATCTTCAAAAATCAACATATAAGTAGAAACAGAATATTAATTTCTAGTGGTTTGTCTGTTGTACCAATTTCACAACCTCAACTTGTAAAAATAAGCCCTTTAATAATAGCCAAGAGTCTCCATTTACTTGGTCTAAAGATTCCCACACATTTTTTGTCTCACAGTGACAATGTCTGGGTATTATTTTTTCATGTTGCTTCTAAGCCTAAATGAAGTATCTAATAATTCTATTGATTAAGCAGTTTGGTGCAAACAATATAATAAGCATTTATGTCCTAACAATTTAAAAGTCATTTGACAAAATAATACATGTGCATTGAAAGAAAAATAGTAATTTACTTTCAATGTAACCACAATTACTTAATAGCGGTATGGATGTACCTGTCATGCACCAAGACTTCTCAGACCAGGAAATGAAGTCGCACATAACCACTCTTGTTCACGGATCCAAAATGACTTTCATAGGTCACTTGCTTTTTAACATAGCAACCCTCCACAAACTAGCACTTAGAAATACAACGTGATCAAAATACAATATAACCTATAAGATTGAAACTCTGAATTACCTCAATCTTAATATTTCCTAAAGTGCCCCTCTGTTTTATGAAAAAATTTTCAATGTTCTCCAACGGCCTTGTGGATTCACGGCGATGGCGCAGGGCATCTCAGCACACAGTTTGAGCATCCTGTGCTTGAACCATGTCTCTCTAGCCTCTCATTCTGAAATGCTATCCTTTCATCTCCACTCATTTTTAGACAACGAAAGTTTAAAAGAACCAGGAAAATGAAATCCTTCTAAAAGTGATGCCACTTTTCACTTCCAACACCCTTGACTACCCAGCCCTTTTAGACCAGCTAGAAGTGACTAGATCTTATGTCCTATGTGATGTCCAATGGCATTATGTACATTTTTCCAGACACGTTGTCTCTCATAGGATTTTAGCAAATTAAACGTAGCTATTGGTGTTCTGTTGAGGGTATCTTCAGCTGTAATTTTCTACCATTTGTGTTTTTCTCTATTGGTTGCTAGCTATAGATTTTTTTATTCTTTTAGCTTATCTGCATTTTGTGTTTCAAATCAGGTTTCCTGTATAATGGTTTCTGCGTTTAAAAATTTTATAATTTTAAGTCAGATTTTAAAAATTACACCAATTTTGTGGTCTATTGACCTCACTGTTTTATGACTTTTACCAGTAATTAATACGTAATTCCAAATCTCTATTCTCTTATGTTTAATTAATAGGCTGGGTATTTTCTCTATGAAGTAAAGAATAAAGAAAGCATATGATAAGAAATAATAAGTATATTCTCATATTGTTGGTTATCTGCTTTGTCTTTTTGTATGTTCACCTTCAAAAGGAGAACTGAGGTTGCTTTGATGAGCAGGGAAAGATGGAGAACTATTTACTGCACATGCTATATTACCAAGGAATGTGGGAGCAGAATCAGAGGCTATTCAGAAATAGAACTCTAACCTTTCAATCTTGGAGACTGGTCTTCCAAATTTAGAAGTCTCGACTTCTCATAGCATAGAAAATGGCTGATGCATTTGAACATATTTCACTTCACATTTTGATTTTCTTAGCATAGATATAGATTATGACATAGCTATTATTCAAAAGTACAAGAGCAATCCATTCATTTTAAAAATATGCTCATTTCACTGTGTACATCAGTGCTGTCCATTTCAATTAGAATAACTATTTCAGAACTGTGGGAAGACATGAAATTGCATAGTGCTGTGTGTTTCCTTATGACTTGTGTATATGAAGTATATAATGCCTATGTCAGCAGAAAAATAATATTATTTCAAAAATTGTTAAATCAAGATAACTCATCCTGATCATCTTTAGTAATCATAAATAGAATAGATTAAATCTAATCTAAATTATTTACATAGGTATGTAATAATATAATAAAGTACCATAATAAGTATGGCACTTTAGGCTTAAATACAGGTAATCCATAACTCCAAAAGCTAGCTGTGCTGTTTCTGGACTTGGTGTGCATTCAATACTAATGGTGTCAACAAAACTGAGCTCTGTATGTGGGATATCTTTAAGTAAAAAATGATGAACATTAAATATAAAACCTTTTGTTTCATTTTAAAGCATTGCTGTCTGTCTCTGAGCAGACCCCTGGTTTTTCACTTTGGTTTCACTTTGTTTCTTTTAGTTTGGGAGTGAAATTTGCAGGTGTATCTGTGACTACTAATGCTCAACTGTTCATCTTTCTCATGAATGTCTGACACGTTTCACTTATAATGCATGACATTGCATGTGTGTTCTCTGTTGCCTTGGCCTCTGCTAGATCATTTTTTTTGCTTCCAGATAGCGGTGGGTGTGCTCGCAAACGTGCTGCCATGTCTGTTACATTAACATCTGTGAAGAGAGTTCAAAGTTCTCCAAACCTATTGGCTGCAGGTATAACATCACTAACTCACAGTGTCATACTTGAACGGCTTCACCTCGCCTCTCTCTTTCCAGAATTATCTTGTTGGGATGTGTACAGGGAGTTTAAATGCCTTTCAAATCCCCCACTCAATCTTATTTTTTTCTAATCCCAAGAATAGCTTCTATCCTTTCTGGTTTTGTTCTAAAAATAAAAAGCCAAAGGAAACCGATACCTTGTTAAAAACAAACATTTAAAAATATAATTAAAAGCGTCAGTCACTTGCCAAAAATACGTTAACTGTAAATGTTAATAACTATTTACGTTTTTGTTATCTCATGAACTAAAGTAACATGATACTTTGAGAATTCAGGGTTAGGATAAAACACTTGATCAACATAGATCTTTATTAATATGGTTCTTCCCAAAGATTGCAAACAGAAAACAGACCTTCTTGCATCTATCTCATATACACTTTAGAATGTATCAAAACCTTAATCAACTTAGACTCATAGGAACCCACAGATGAAAATATACTTCAGAAAGCAAAGAGGATGGGACATGTCAGCATCCACTGAGGTAGCTCTCTTTTCACTAACTGTCTGTGATGACTTACCTACACCTGTGGCACAGACTTCATCTAGAGTCTGCAACTATGGAAGATCAGCTGGCATCCCAGCCTACCCCTAGACCCTTGAGGGAGTAACACAAAACTCCTGGTAACTGGTTAGTTAATTGGTTGATGTGGTTGCAGTCTAGGGTTCCCTCGAGTTTATTTATAAGATTAATTAGTTATATAGAAGGAGGAGGAAAGTGATGGAGTCACTAAATAATTTTAAATCCCATTCTGTGTTTAAGTCTATAAACATGTTTAGTGATCAGTTGGAACTGAGGATGTCCTACACAGTTTTATTAAAGAAAAACAAACTTTTAAAGGTGACTTCCACTTCCACCCTCTTCCCCACCTCACAAATGGATTTCAAGGTCCAAATTTAAATGTCAAGTCAGGAGTCTCGTATTATCCTTCTTTATATAAAACCACTACAATGTATATAATCTGATCTCATCTGGGTTTAAAAACCACTCTGAATATGTTTGTCCATGCATATGTGAGTATGAAAAGATATTATAAAAGCTATAGACGTATTTATACTAGATGCATGAGATATGAGAATGATGGAAAGTAAAATAAATAAAAGGCAAGTACATTGTACTATTGGAATGCCTGAACCATGGATTTCACCGGCATTTCAACCAAGTAAAATCTCAGATGTGACCACTGATGCATATGCCAGAGAATGACTCACTATGTTAACAATTCGTATTTGTTATCACTTATAAAAAATAACCCACAAAAGATAGCATTGGCTTGAACTAGAGATTGCATTTGAGAGAGTCAAAACTGTACTACAAGCAATTTCATACCATTCAAGTTATGGGGAAAAGACTAAATGTTCCATAGTAAAAATAGAAAAATAAGCTGAGCCAAGCCTGATGGCATCATCCTATGATTCCAGCTACTTAAAGTTTAAAGCTGCCTGGGCTATCCAGCAAGTTTAAGGCACATCTGAGCACACTGTCTCAAAATTTAAGATAATTAAAATGAGAGTAAGGGATGAGTATATAGCTCAGTGAAACACTTGCCTAGCATGCACCAGGCCTATCATTCAATTTCTTGTACCCAAGGGCAGGAGAAGGAAGGAAGGAAGGTTGGTTGATTAAATAATTCAGTAATATGAGCAATTAGTAGCTCTTGCCTGTTTTATGTCACTAGAAATAAGATTTTTTAGCAGTTCCTTGAATTTCAGATTTAACTTTAAAAGATTTTCTTTTCATATATTGACACATAAAGTCTTCAAAGACATTTAATGACATTTTAAAGAATCAGGATCCTTTCTGCCTAGGCTCATATATGTTTCAACATCGCTAGAGAATTAATTATTCATTAAGGTAGATGCTAAAATCATCAACTCAAACTTTACTAAAACATGGCCTCGTCTTGGCATTTCATCCACCAGTCTGTCTGTAGTTTGCCATCATCAATATCCCGTGGGTTACGCAGGATAAACAGTCCTCTGTTTCTCCCACTTGGTGTTTCTTAGGGGTCTATAACCCCACAATGTTAGAAACTATCAACTGGAGGATTTGTATTCCAAGTGTCCTTCCAGTTAGCTCAATGTGCCCTTTCTCCCCTACCTCATCTACATCCCTGGCACCTCCACAAACATGGCTCCTATTGCTTAGCCACCAGCTGCCTCCTCAGCACATACTTCATGTCTTCCTTTTCTAGCTTTGTGTTTTCAAACCAGGAGTAAAATAAATGTCCTGTTCTCAAGCAAACAGTTACAATGCACATGCGCATTACTGATGCTGTTTCCCTGTCCTTTAACCTCTTCTCAAGTCCCCAGAATGTAGACCCACAGTGGTCAGTAAGTCTCTTTCCTTAAGTGCCCCCAAAGCAGAATTCCAAAGGGAGTTGTGCATTACTATTCTCTCTAGAGGTGTCATTGTCCTTTAACTGAATGAAATGGTGGTCTCCAGGCTCTGTTATACTCTGGGTGTGGAATCCAGAAAACATGTCATGAATAATTCTACAAAACTATTTTTACTGGATTATACTCATTTTTATTCTAATTTATGATCATATATAATAAATGAGACTATGTTTCTCTTCTATAACTCACTTGTGCTAGAGTCATTCCAGGCAACTCAGATGATTCACATTTATTTTTCTTCCCTTGATTTGAGAAAAAAAGAAATCCATCTTAAATATTTTATAAAACAAACTTTGCATTTCTCAACCCACTAAATGTCATTCCAAATGTATATGTGTAAATTTTAAAATGCTATTCCTGAAGAGTTTGGGAAGAAAACACAGAGTCATTGACTAGTAACAATTTATTAGTGGTCCCAGGGAACATATCAAAAGAATCCAGGAGCTAGATAGCAGTGAAGTCAAAGAACTCTTCCAGTCCTTTCCAAGGTCAAGGCTTTATAGATCCAATAGACTAAAACAGTGCAAACTGATTTCTCAGATGACCCTATGGGAGGTTCTTGAATATATAGTGCTAAGACAATTGACCGTTAGTATGTGGAAAACAAATTATTTACTATGATTTATTTTCCACAGCTTATGAGCTAAAAGACAAGGAAATACACACTGTTAACAGTTTTCAGGTTTGAATAAACAAAGACTTGAAGCAACAATAAGAAAATTCAAATTCTAGAGAACAATATGAAAATATTACCTTATACAGTAGGCACATCTGCCTTTTGTAAAAGTTTTAAAAAAAAGCAAGCTATTGAAACATTAGTCACTATCTAATGTAGCAGTTAAATATAGTGAGTTACAGGTGGCTTCAGCAAGCTACCTATCTGGTGACTTCCTTTAACATTCTAAAAAGCATTCATTGTTTGCAAATCAGGTCCTTTTCAATCCTTTAATTCTATGTTCAGAATTCATGTATCCACCTTGGGCCACAATAATCTTAAAATTACATAGCTGAAATATTATTAAGGGTGAAAATTAGTGTTTGATATATGTTCTAGTTATAGAGTATAGATATTCAACAAATGATAAGCCCGCTGAAATTAAAAATTGTGCACAACCCTCTCATTACTACATTTAACGTACCCCGTTTTAGGACTGAGATAATGTCGGCAAAAACAATGCATGTGGTTCTTTGCCAAGTATTTTTACTGGAGGGCTGGTTTGTCGCACACTCACATTAATTTCAACATTGTTTTTCTTTCAGGGCGTGATTCTCAGTCTCCAGACTCAGGTACAGAAAAAAAAAAATATCGTGAATAACTATTGTGCTTATTCCAAGAACATTTTTTTCTTTTTACATATCCACAGTCACATCATTGACTTATCATTGATTTCATGTTCAATTTAAATTTCATACATTGTTATGCATATTAAAGTCCTATCAAGACCACTTTGATTTTAGAAAGACAAATCAATTTTCTAACACACCAAAAAAAAAAAAAAAAATTCAAGTGAACGTAGATATTTCTGTGTCCAATTTGTTTTCCCTTAATAAAAGCGTGGAGCTCTTACAATGATCGAAATCCAGAGACACTGAATGGAGATGCCACATATTCCTCTCTTGCAGCAAAAGGTTTTAGAAGCGTCCGACCAAACCTGCAAGACAAAAAATCACCAACCCAGGTAATTAAAGCTCATTGTCGTGTATCTAGTGCCTAGACCTCTGTTTTCTCATTCTCTTGGGGACCTCATTTCTAGAGTTCTAGCTTTAAAATGCTTCTGCCTTTTCCTTTTGCTTTGCTAGTCATGCTAACATGTACAACATGGGGCATGAGTTTTAAGCTCAAAACAGGTAGGTTTTCCTTTGTTGTTGTTGATGTTGTCTTTATTTTTTCTCTGGGTAAGCTTATAAAAGTAGGCCAGCTTCTACCGCAACATTTAAGATTAATTCTAATTATTAAAGCTCCGACAGCTGATGTTTTGGATTCCAGAGTTTGAGAGTCAGGGATACATTATGTGTTGAATGGATGTAAGTCAGACAAATGCTGAGCCTTTGAGATGTTCGTGAAAACTGTGCATGCAAAATGTTCCAAAAAACCATGTGACTAAATGAACTATCAACCTCCAGGTCTAAAAATAGGACCAGATAATTTATGTTCACTTTTAGCATAATTTTTAAAACTATGGATGGAAGCAATATCTTTGTAATGTGTTCTAAACTAAAACAGCTTTTCCAACTTGGGAGAAAATATTGATAATAGTATACAAAGCATTCTTACAGGGCTGAAAGTAACAGTTTAGTCTAGCCTTTCCAGGGCATAGTGTGTATGGGTTTCTTCAGGACAGGTTTGAGAATATTCCTCTCATGACTAACTTGGACTTTCTTTCTGTTTTTCCTTTAATATCATTTCTCTTTCTGAACACTTTCGGCCATTTAGGCACCTCTTCCACCAGGCAGGAAAGAGAGCTTTTGTCGGTCCTTGATAACCAATCAAACAAAGGGTGACATTTTAGACTCATTAGTAACTAACACAGAAAGTCCATGGTGCACCGAGAGCTTTACTAACCTTAAACCTTTCCAGGGAGCTATGCATTCTAGTGAAGATTCTAACCAGACAATAGTGTATTCTGAGGAATCCAACACAACTCTGTCATACACACAAAAATTCACTAATCCACTACCAGCAGCCTCCGGCTCCAGTCCTGCACCATTTGGAGACATGAACACTTCATTTCTACAAGAGGACTACATGCGAGATTCTCGAAGAATTTCTACCTTAAAACTAACCCCTAACCAGGAGCTAGGGAATAGTTCCCCATTTAAAACACCACAGTTTTCCCAATCCACTGACATTCCATCATGTCTGAAAAGGTCTTGCTCACCAACCCCTAAGCCAGGACCTAACACACACACAGCATCTCTTTCCATTCAGATAGCTCCCCATTCAGGACATGATCTTGAAAGCCACCAACAGATCCCTGAACGGCCTCCAGAGCCTGAAGAGATACCTTTTCAGCAAGAGAGACAAATGTCTGCAGACGCCGAGACCTGTCAGTCCCCAGCGGTACATTCTACTTCCCAGTCCCTTCTTCTGTGTGTGTTGCAGAGACCCTAACTCCTTGGGTTTGAGCTTCTGATTAAACCTAACGTATTATTGGTTTCTAAACAGGAAGGGAAAGGAGAAAGAAACTACTTCAAATCTGACTGAACTCAGTCAATTTCTTTGCATGTTTTTATATAAATACAAGCACATAGAGCTTTCATACAAAAATCATGTTCTATGTTTTTCTTGAAAATCATTGATATAAAAGTTGTCACTTAAGATGCTGTAAACTACATCCAACCTTAAAGTACTTCCAGACACCAAAGACCATTTTCCACATCAAAACTTTGGAAGCCAGGTTAACCTCATTTAAACATACAACATCTCTCAAGATAATTCTCAATCATAATATGCTTTATCTTAATTTCAAGCCGTATTTATTCCTTTGTAAGTTGACATTAATTTTCTCTAAAAATTGATCAATCATTTCAGAAAGCACACTAACCAAATTTTATTGCCTAGAATTTTACATATGTGGAAATAATGGCCCCCCTAAAATATCTAATTCTAATGATACCCACCATCTCTGTCAAAGGGGAAGCCATTCTTCCCTCAGCTTCTCCACAAAGTGACACCATGTTGGCAACATCAACTTTAAAGAAAAACTATGCAGTGTTCTCCAGCTTTATGATGAGGCATCCATAGTAACCCCTCTGTGAGTTTGAAATAGAATCGGGGATAGTAATTAATCCTTTATTCATAGGATGAGGCAAGGCAAGAGACTTAATAGAATACAGAAAACACCAATACATGGTAGCCGCTACTAAGAGAGGGAACCCCGGCAGCAGCAGGGACAGACCTGAAGACACTGCTGCCTATGGAGGTTGTCTGGTATCTAAGTTACTAAAGATCATGCAAACATCTTGGCGGACAAACATTTTCAAGCTGTAGAAAACCTTCAACAGGTAACATGACTGACACTAAGGCTCCCCTTACCTCCCCATAGTGTAGAAAGTTGAAACATGGCATTTTACAAATCTATTAAAATGTAGGACGATGCTAGTGCTAACAGTAGCTTTATCTGTAACCCATGACATGTCCAGGAAGCAGGGAGGAAAGTCACAGAGAATGTTCCTAACTACTTGATTTCACCCAACATAATTTGGGTCTTCAAAATGATTATTCTAATGTTTCAAAATATAGCATTGATACTTTCTTTTCCAATCATTTTGTCACTATCCAGACTAGCCAGAGACAGTGGGGGTTCATTAAAGATTCCCCATAATATTAGCCTGGTATGAAAGACCCCATCACTCTTACTCACTCACTAAATAGTTATTGATTTATTGATATATCAGGGTTCAATTCTCAAAGCTCTGTTAAGTCATCGATGCTTAATGTCTGCTGTGTAATTTTTAAGTAATAAAACAAGCAAATTTGCATTCATGAAAGAGTGATTTACGGAAATTACACCATGCTGAGCTGTGGTGTGGGGAGGATATGGCATATTCAATAGAAGGTCTTATAGAATCCACCCAAAAGATTTAAAAAAAAGTTGAAAGATAGAATATTCTGGTCAAAATAACCTGTACTATAAAAGCTGTGAGGCTGAGGCAGGAGGAAAAAGGGAGTAAGCAGGGCTTGGAGTTGTAGGAAGTTAATTCAGCCAGATTACAGAAGTCCTTGTAAACTACTATAAAAATTTTGACTGTAGGCTTAATAAAAATGGGAGTCTTTTAGGAGATTTGGAGGCTACCACTATAATGATTCAACTAACGTTTTAACCAAATCATCCTAGCATCTCAATTGGGAAGAAACTGTAGGAGGAAGGCAGGCAAGCCAGCTAAGAAGCTGTTGCATAATTCAGTCCAGGAAAGATGGCAGTTCAAGGTAGGGTGGAAGCCTCGGAGATGGTGTGAAATCCAACTGTGGGAATATTATTTTGAAAGCAACCTTTGAAAGTAGAGCAGACAGAACTTCTAGGGCAGGTGCAAGGCAAATAAGAGAGGAGAACAGTCAAGCTTGACTCCATCTGAGAAGAGGCTAATGCCATTAACTGAGACCAAGAGACCACCAGGGAAGCAGGCTTAGTGAAAAGTCATTTGTGTCAGTGGGGACATGTTTAAAGTGTCTCTAGTCATCCATGAGAAGTAGTAGAGTGTGGGATGAGAGGGTTTGGGGCTCAGAGGAAAGGTCCTGGTTGGAGATAAAAGTGATCAGCTTATAGATGCTTTTTGTAGCCAACAGACAGTGAAGCCAACATGAATGGAGGAAACCCAAGAATCGAGCTTATGCAAAACTTTCCATTCAAAGGAAGACCCAGTCAAGCAAACTGGCATTGGTATCTCCAAAAGGGGAGGAAAATCCAGGAAATGTGGCACACTAAAAGCTAAGAGAGAAAATCATGGAAGGATAGGAAAAGCAACCTCAAATATTGTTGCTAGGACAAGAAGGTGAGAGTTGAAGGCATGCCACAGAGAAGAATTGAGGAGGGAGGCTATGTTACAGTGGCATTGGGATAGACAGGGAGGAGACCAATTAGATCATGGCTTCTTTCAAGGTGTTATTATGTGCCTCCCTGGACTTTGTTTCTTCATCTATAATACAGGGTTAATAACAACATTTATCTTGGAGAGTTTCTCGGCAGGTATGATAATATATATGGGGAATTTGGCATACTGTCTTCTACATAGTAATTCCCCGACATGCAGAAGCCACTATTATTTTAAAATAGTATTTTCCAAACTATGTAACAGTTTGGGAAAATAAATTGATGTTTTCAACAATAATTTTGAACAGATAAATGAAAGCTTATTTTATCAGATTAACAGTGTGTCATATTGGGTTGTCTTACAACACCTTGTAGAAGGTGGCATAAATTGTTGCAATTTTTAATGTTGCCAAGAATGTGTGAGATCTACCTTCTTCACAATACTTTTTCGGTTCATGTATGGGTCAGGTGTGTATGTTGGCATGTGTTTGGAATCTTTCTAGATTATTCTCCACTTCATTTATTGAGGCAGAGTCTCTCACTGGACCTGGGGCTTGCTAACTCAGGCTAGTCTAGCCACTAGCTTCCCACAGGGATCCCCTATGTTTATCTCCTAAATGCTGGGCTTTTGTGGGGGTTCAGAAAAACCCCAACTCTGGTCTCTGTGTGTGCATAGCAAGCACTTTATCAACCAAGCCACCTCCCCAGGACTTTCCTCACAAATTGTAGGTGTTCCACACACTATTGTTAATAATTTCACATAGAAAATTCCTAGAATTTGTCTTGCCTAAATTAAACTCTATACACTAGATAGCAGCTCATGCCCCCCTCCCAGCCCCTAGTCACGACCTCTCCCGTCTGCTTCTGGGTCAACTGTTTCAGATGCCTCGAGTAAGGGGAATCATGAAGTATTTGTTCTCTGAATGGTTCATTTCACTTACACAATATCTCCTGGGTGATCCATGTTAAAATACACAGTAAAATTGCCTTCTTTTTTAAGACTAAAGGATAGTCCATAATAATATATATCTTATTCTCTTTATCTATTCTTCATCAATGGACATTTAATTTTCATGTCTTTCCTATCATGGTATACTTCATTTTCTGTTTAATAGTCTTTCACAATGGTTTTTACATTCCCTGTTCTG